CACATCCCCTTTCAGACATGTAGCGATGCCAGGTATATATTTATAGAGAGAAAGCATTACAGAAACACGCCATTAAAGAAAACAAAAAAACAACAACCAAAAACCCATTAACTCTTACTACCAAAGAGCAGTGGCGGGCAATAGCTGACACTGGTATTTGATACTATCAATTAGGATCCATTCCCGCGGATGCCCAAAAGGGGCCGACACCAAATACGGTAGAGTGTCCATTACTACAAGACACACAACCCTGTTTTCGAGAAACCCGAACCATTAAATAATTACTTTTATATGGCTTTATGGGTGGACAGAGGCATGTCGAGAAACCACAGATGTGGTGCTTTTGAAAAACTAACAAAAATATACGTCTGGGAGACCTAAAATAATTTCAAAACGAAAACAAAAATAAAAACTAGTACGAAACACACTCTTAAGCTGAACGCTCATGTATACACTAACGTATCCAAAATGATGGTTCCATATACTTTCATGTTTTAATACATCCTTGTCATTTTCTATGATCAAATAACCATTCTCATCCTGAATGTACAATTTCAAAGCAATGTTTCCATATGATTTAGCTTTTTAAAAATATGATAAAATAATCTATCTCGGTCTGCTAATTTTTTTTCAATTTAGTGGTTAGGCTACCGGACTCGTAATGGTGAGGTTGCGGGTTCGGGGGTTCGAGCCATGGGCTTGACGTTGTGTCCTTGGGAAAGGCACTTTACACGAATTTTCCTCACTTCACCCAGGTGGGAATGGGACAGCGAAAGATCTTGTAAGAAGGTTCGTGTTTTAGCGCCTATAAATGGCCGCTTGCACAGTATGCTTCCCAGGAAGTTGAGGTTGTTTCGAAATGCTCTCAGGTCTGCTGGGGTAATAATATAGATTGTGAAGCGCATAGAGCCTGCTGCTCAGCGGGGATTTGCGCTACACAAATGCTATCTATTATTATTATTACTTTTTAACTTCTGTGATGCTCCAAATCTCATATTAACTCCATTCAAACTCTCTCCTCAGTAATGAAAGCAGGAATGCTCTTGCCAGCCACCTAAAATAAATAACATCTAATGATACAACTAATTAGCGTTTAGCTAAGTTTGTTTGTCGTAATGAAAGCATTAGCAGTGTCCTTAATGAGCAAAAGACTGCTCATCTTTTCTTCGTTTTCTTCTTTTAATGACCCCCCCAAAAAAAAACCCAAAAAAAAACAAACAACACCCCACAACAACAACCCAACAACAAACAAACAAACAAACAACAACAACAACAACAACAACAAAACACACACACACAACAACAACAAAAACCCGCGGTTAAGGCACCACTATGATAGAGGGCTGCAAACACCATGGAGTAGATGAACAAGGCCAACATAGGTTTGCAGACTAAATTCTTTCGATATTTGCAGAGCACATAGTTTATAGTAGTGAAGAGTGGTGGGCGAGGCTCTGGTGGTGTGGTTTGTTTCTTCATCTTCCCTATGAAATATCTGTCGTCCTTCTTTTTCTCCTTCTTTATTGTGTTTGTAACTCTCTTGTAGCACCTTTAATGTTCGACACTTGTATGACCAAGTTGCGTTGCAAGTGCCGTAAAAGTTAACTAAAACAAGAGGACCAATCATAATATAATGTACAGGATACCAACTTTCAAGCAAACCATACACCAGAGCACCCGTTAACCAGCCATCAACTAGCATCCATAATTGCACTCTAATGTCGAGAATGACGCTCACCCTGCAGATGTGCAAAGTACCGGTCCCTAAGATTTGAGGTGTTACAATAGAGTAACATTCAAAGAAAAGAAGGAGGAGAGAAAAGGACGAAACATGTTTGATAGCAAAGGAAGAGTAAACCACACCAGAGCAGAAAAAGCAAACCATACCAGAGCACCCACATTGTTTGAGTTTGAGTAAAGAGACGTACATCAACACAACAATGGTCATTTAACACCTAGAAAAAGTAAGACTGAATCAACAGAGTGAAATTACAGAAATAGGAGCCACCAGCGTCGCCCTCCAACCACCTGCAACCACCCACCTACTAATTCTAATGTCCCCAGTCGCGGTCTAGTGAGGAAAAGTGACTCTTACCCTGAGGAACATCAACGATTTATTTATAAAGGCACCAGCCATCTCATCTTACCCTGTAGATGTGGAGGTTGTCGTACTCCGAGGGAGGCCCCGCCCTCTGGGGCGTCAAGTGACGCACAGGGATGGGCCGCACCGACAGCTCCGGGTGCACGCAGGAGATCATGTCCTGCACCGTGGAGGACTCGGAGAACACCGAGACTCTGGGGTCGCCCTGACCCACGGGGAACTTGGCCGGGAACAGACTGGTGTGGCTGGGCGTGTTCGGCTCGGTCAATGCTCCCGCCACGTCCTCGTTCAGACTTGCAGGGTCAAGGCCGAGCGTGATGGCCATGGGAGGCTTCCAGTGTTTTCTGTGGCTGAGGTCGGAAGTCGGGCTCAGCCTCTGGGTCAGCGCTTTCGTCCCCAGCTTCAGCCGGTTCAGCCGGTCCCGCCAGCTGTGCTTTCTCTGAAGCTGTGGCTTATCGTGGGTGGGGCCTGTTCGCAAGCTAATGCTCCTGGAAAGGGCCACAGGAGCTTGGACATTATCGAACGTAAATTTATTTTGGGTTTGGTCTTGTTGGTCGGGAGAGAATATTGTCTCCAGCTGGGGGTTCTGAGACACCTTCTGCTTGCTAGTTGCAGGGTCAGTCGGAGCTATTGGCGCAGACCGGCGCCTCACCTGAATGTTCACAGCCTTCCCGTGTTTATCTCTCAGCCGCACTGCATCGGCCGGCTCAGCGTAGAGCGGGCTGGACAGCGTAGCTATAGAGGACTCCGACGACGACTTTAACCGAGACAAACGCCCCAACACACTGAGAGGAGTCGCCGTCTGTTTCCTCCGTGTATCCTCCTCCTGAATCACGAAGCTCGAGTCGATGTTCGCCGACTGTTCTATGTGGGTGGGCGTGCTGGACTGTTCGCTGGACCCGCCCTCAGACATTATGACAGACATGGTGGTGGTGAAGACACATTTAGAAAGCTGACGGCACTCTTGCACAGGCGTGGTGGAATTTCTTACTACACTAGATGAGGTGGGCTGAGGCGGTGGGCTGGTGGGTTGCGACACAACAGGAGGCCTACCAATATTGACCGAATGCGAAGTGACAAATTTGATTTCTTGAGATGCTCCATTAGGAATTTGAATACTACCAATGTACTTCTCACTAACAAATCTCCCCTCCTGAGAAGTGGAGCAGAAGGAGGGGTTTTCAGTCAAGGGCACAGGCTCGTCAGAGAACACATTTTCCATTCGCTGGATACCTTTCACATGGGCCACCGGCAAGGGGGGCCACTCATCATCACTGACAGAACCTGCGATCTGCCGTGCTTGTTCCAGGGCAGACAACCCCGAGGGATTACTCGTAACCGCTGAGGCGTCACAAGCAGACTGTGGGACCGTGCTTACGCCAGCACTATTTCTGCGAGTCTTGCCTGAGCCATTCTGACTCTGGCTTGGCTTACTGTGGCTATCAAAAGTCTGGCTGTCCCGCTCACAGTTCCCACGAAGTTCCATCGCAGTGCGGGGGTCAACCTCAGCGATAGAATTCCGCCAAATGTCCTCGTAGTCGCTGAGCCTATCACTCAAGCTAGAGCTGAAATAATTGCTCTCCGCCGCCTGCATAAGGCCTAGGTTCGTGGTGAAGTATAAGTTAGATTTAACCTTTGGCGCTTCCACCTTGGGATGTGTCCATGCACGACTCTTTCCTTGTGCTTGCCAGGCACCTGCTGGCAACGGGCCTAAACTTCCTCCAAGAGGGGGACCCGAACTCGTACCAACTGGGATATTGCTGGGGTTGGAGCTATAAATATCTGCACTGCTTAGCTCCGCTTGCTTTGATTGCCCGGCTTTGAGAGGCAGCTCCGGTTGAGGTGGAAGGCATGTGGGACTGGAGGCTAAAAGCCAAGATTCGTGGCTTACGCTTCTTTCGACCCGCAAGGACTGACGATGATTCGATGAGGAAATCTGCTGTAAACTACTGGAGTTTTTATTTCTGGAGACGCTTATCCCTGGAGTAGTCCCTGATGCTGAATTGAGTTGCGGTGGCAAACACGGTTGGGATGGAAGACTCACCTCTACACTCCCTTGAGAATCTTCACCAGGACGCGTAAGAAATTTCTTTGGCTGCCCCCGTAGGGCGCCCTCTATATTATTGCGGGCTCGCATGAAGTGGGAAAAGTCAGAGTCTGAACGTGATGACGTACTGTCCTGTGATGTGCTTCTTGGTATAGGATGCTGAATGTTGATTGGTTCACTGCAGGATTTGTGAAGTAGACCAAAGCTTGGTTGTGGTGATGGGGACTTGCGAGAGATTGGACTCACCCAGAAGTCTGAAACCAAAAGTAGACAATAAGTAATAATAATAACGAAATTATTAGACAATTCTCACAGCAGCTTGTTACATATAAGTAGGATCACCTTTCCTTGGTATTGAGGCTGATTAGTATTGATGTGTCGAAATCCTTTTGAATGGGTAAACTGGTTAACATTTTAAAAAGTGAAAAAAAATTCTAAGTGAAAGAGACCAAATCTAGGCACAAATTGAGTAATAATAATTTTCAAATCACAGGTGTGCTATTTACTCAGTCTGCAGGCTTTTAAAAGGTATGAGCTATAAAAAAAAATAGATAGAACAATAGTTCTGATATTCACTCCGATAGACTTAGATTCTTGCTCAGAAGAAAACAAACTTAGATCTATATCAATTTCCTTTAAAAGCAGAAGTTTTGCAAGACTATAATGCACAACAAAGAATAAAAAGATCATTTAATTTCTAAAGGGTACACATTTGTATCTTACCTTGGCCTAGCATATCCAAAGATGCTAGTTCCCGAGTGGACCGTGCCTGCAATATGGCACTTGGAAGTCTCAAATGATATGGAATTTCATCCCTGCAAAGATCATAGAGTCATTGAACACCCATGTATGTGTATAGCAGAAAGGAGACGAAGGAGAAAAAAAAATATTATGCTAAGACATAATCAAAGCTATATAGCGGTAAATAAAACGACGTTTTTGTCAATTATTATAACATCTCTCAAACTCATCAATGGGGACTCTCTCCTAGAGGTTAAGGTGTTCGCCTCTCATTCAAAGGTCAAAGGTCCCGAGTTTGAATCCGGGTTGCGACGGAAACATTTTCTTCTCTCAAATGTTCACCTTTCACCTCCTTTCCTGCTCTCTAGCAATGTGCTGTCGTCTGCTTTCGTCTCCACTTTCTGCCCCAACCCCATCACCTCCTTTGCCCCCTCCTCTAGGCTCCTGACTTTTCTGCAGCCTTTCTACTGATACTCCTTGGCTCCTTCTTGCTGCCGTCTTTCAGCCACACTCCTGATCTTCTGGTAGGAAAGATCTACACCCAGCCTTCTCGGAAAAAGGCGAAAGATCTTGGAGGTCCTGTGTGCAAGCTGCGCACGTTAAAGATCCCTTGGTGGTCCAAAATCGATAAGAGTAGGCTTCGACCGCCACCCGAGCAAAATTCAAAATTTCCTACCATCTGAAAATGTTTAATGTGTCCCGCGCGCTCAGATGACCTTATGCAGTTGCAAGCACCTTAAAACACTTTTTAAAAATAATAAACATTTAAAACCCACCAATCAATTTTCCAGAATAGGTAAATAGAGAAAGTCAGTGACAAGATTAAATAGAATCTGAACATAAATTTCTAGAATATTAACTCTATGCTATCAGAGGGTGTGGTTGGGGTATGGGCGGTAGAGGAAAGGTCTGAGTAAAGAGATTTGTTTGCTTGTTGAGAAAAGAGAAGCACATCGACACAATGATGGTCATTTAGTGCTGGAAAAAAGTAAGATAGACAGACAGAAACAATTGGGGGAAAGGTAAGAAGTAGGATCTACCAGTAGCGCCCTCCAACCACCAGCTGACTTAAGAGAAGCACATTGACACAATAATGTAGGTTTTTATACCTGTGTCAATACAATTAAGATCATTTAGGAGGTGGCGTTTAACCCTGCCTGTCACAGACAACCTGGGCAGAGAGGGACACAACGTCCCAACTGAAGACAGAGAATCAATACAAAATTACCCCTCATGGAAATCAAACTCTTTCACTACAACGATGTTCACCACTGTACTAACTACAATCTGTACACAATTTTTTTTTAAACAGAAGCAAACTTTAAAAACTACTCACATGTTATCTACATAATATGCAATGAGCGCTGGCACTGAATGAAAAAAATGAGCTGATCCCTGGAGACGAAATCCAGCATCTGACCCCTCGATGAGATAGTGGTCAACGGCCGGATGGCCAGAGAGACGAGACTGGACACTCAGAGCCAGAGAGCTGGCCTGACTAGACTTGCGCACAATGAAATTCTGCAAAAGAAAATTTGGCGCTTTGTGTTAGTTAAAGCAACGCAGGTTGACCTGATCGAGATCGAGATACAGTTTTAGTTGTATGAGTAGAGAGAGGCACATCGATACAAATTTGAGTTATTCAATGCTGGGAAAAGGCTGAAGCAAAGACTCTCTTTATCTCTCTTAAATGCACACACAGACACGTGAATTCTCTCTCTCTCTCTCTCTCTCTCTCTCTCTCTC